AGCTTCCTCTGAATAATGCCTCGGTTAAAAATTGAGAAACTGGAAAACAGATCGGTTTCAATTTTGCACTTGTAGTTTACTTTGAACCTTCTGAATGCTTAACGTAAGAAAGGAGTGGAAGCTCTCTAAATAAAGGATAAGCTGACAGCAAGATTAATTGGTATTTCACAGTTGAAGAATTAATACGTGCTGTTCCAAGTTTTCCACGTGTTTTATCTTGCAACTCTATTTTAATTCTTCCACGTATTATTTGAAATTCCACTTGAACTTCACCGTGCCGCGTCCCCTTTAAGGGGATTTCGCGTTATTCCTTCGGCTTGTTATGTCTCGGGAAACGGGAACAAAGGTACTTTGCTGTTGAGGATTGGCCAGCAGGTTGGTTAACACAGATAGAAGGTTCCATTCCAAGGATCTGATTCGATCACTGTTAAGGCCATCGATCATCGTGGCACGAACCCTTAGAAACTGCGAGATTGATGACAAGCTAATTCGCTATTGAGACGTGAGAGAAGCGAAGCCGCGTACGAGTAACAACGAATCACGCTGATAAATGGATAACTTTTCCAAACTGACGCGCCAAAAATCATTCTCGAGCGTCTCAAAGGCTCAAAATTAAACGTAACGTATGTGTGTTCTTTTACGTAACATATATGTCGCCAACTGCGTGCCCAATGTGACTGTCGCAGTGAAAAAAATCAGACTTTGAATTGTTTGCCCAAGTTTAAAATACGAGGGTATGTAAGTGTGTATATGACGAATTGTGTCATCGGCTTACTGAAACTTCTCCGGTTAATTGATATAAATTAATAAACTTTGTTTACATATATTTTAGGCTACGTAGCTTCAGATCTGTTTGTATTATTACTGAAATTTCCAAAATATCCGTAGTTTCGTGAAAGAACAGTTTCGAAATCTTCTTGCAATAGTGGGGAGTTACTAACTCTCTCCTGAACAGGTCATAAACTGCGCCTAGCAACAAACTGTAGCACGGATGTAACCTCGAGAATTCTGCGAAGCGACGACTACGACCACGACTACGGACTCTCCATAACACGACGAGCTTCCTGATACACTCGGTGAATTATTACCGGCACACGGCGCGCCAACTTTATCGGTTATTTAACGTTCCGCCGGCGATTTGTCGCCGGTGGATCGGCGCAAATCGTTGGCCCCGCCATTCCGGCGCATCAAGATTACGAGCAACTTGCCGGAATTTCGGATTAAGCCGCCAACCGCCGCGCGCGTGTCCTATCGTTTATCCCTTCGTCGCACGACCCTCAGCAACGAAGACAGCCGGGATTATTCCGGCTATCTTCCCGACACCCTCAGCATCTTTCCAAGTTTTCCCGAAATACCGCGAGCCATCGTGATAGATTTGCAATGGGAATAACGATCGACGTCACTGCTGATGGCTACTGGTGTCCAAACAGAGACGAGAAACACGGAGCGAAGGGGCAATGAAATGTTTGCGAAGGTAATTGAAACAATCGCGCTACTTGTTCAACGTCGGAAGAAGAACGAATGAACATCTTGGAACGAATATTTGAATATTTTATGCACATATGTTTTCATCGTACTGTCCTGCGCAAATAAACTGAATAAAGCAACAAAGATATTTCGTATAAACGGTAAAATAGTAGCGATCTAGTATTTGTGGGTGGCAGAGTTCTAAACTTAAGCGCCAGAGGAAAAATAGCAGGAGTTTTGGCTAGCTTGTAAATAGAGGAGTAGAGTGGAAGCCGCGTCCGACCTAATACGGACTGTTTCTACTTGGTGTCGGAGAACTCCGCTGTTTGTCGCGATAGCAAAGAGCAGCAAGACAAATCTCGGGTGCAAAGGAAGACAAAGTTCCGTCCTACGGGGAATTTATTCTTATCGCCTCCCTATTTTTATTCCGTCCGACACTGCTGAGCTGAGAAAAAATGAAAATTTCTCACTCGGCCCTGCGCACGTTCCGCCCGCGGTAATAAGATTACAGGGGTCGTTCTTAAAATGTAACGTCGGCGAATTAAGCCGCGCGATTCTTAAAAGAATACTTCACGAGGGGAGGGGGAGGGAACTACCCAACAACGGAATAACAACAAAACGTAATAACAGCCAACGTAGGGAGGCGAGAGGGGAAAAACCAATTGAGATTAAACGCGGTCGCGCGGGGAACTTACGACTGTAAATAATTCGAAAGATCGAAGCTGTCCCCCAAGTGCACTTTGGAGAAACCTTCAAGTACAAATGTTGGGGATAGAAATATCGGGCGAATGCGCGTTTTCAAATCGGCGCGCCCGAGGAAAAAAACATCCGTCTCCAACTGGAAATCTACCTCGATCGCTCCGTAAATATTGATTCAACAGGGCTTGATTCAGAAAAGTACCGCATCATTTCAAAAGGTATTCAATTTCCCGTTTCTCTCGAATCGCAGGACCAAAAATTACCAAAGCCTTGTAATCGACCATCCCTTTAATAACTTGGAAACAACATTTCTCCGTCTCACGAAATCCAATTAAGCAAACTTAAAGAAAAAAAAAGAAGAAGAACAAGAGAAGAAAAAGAAGAAGAAAGAAAGTAGCAGAGCTCCGTCGCTCCTCCTCGGTCTTTTCAGCCCATCGTCTTCTGTGTAACTTCCGGTCAGAAGGTTATCGTTGCTCGACGTTGGTTAAACTTCACGAAACTCCGAAGCGACGAAATCGCGGTGCGTCGCGATGAAAACAGGAGGTGGTGAGCGCGTCGCGTTTGTTGCGCGAAGCGGAGAGTGTTCGAAGAATGAAAAGGGCTGCGAGTGGGTGGTGTGCGATCGCGGCTGGCACGCATCGTTGAATAGCCGGGCACAAAGAGAGAGGGAGAGAGGGAGCCGCGTAGGTGGTTTTGGATGAGGTGGTTTGCTCGCTGGTCGAAAGGGTTCACGGAGGGGAAATGGGATGGGGAGGTGGCCGGTGTTCCCCTCAACCCTCGCGGTTGACGCGCGAACAGCGTGCACGGGAGAGAGGCTCATGGTCTCCGTTACATTGCGTTACAAAGAGCGCAACCCAGCGGCAAAATCCTGTCAACGGTAACGAGGGTTTCGTGGTGCGTTAAAATTCTGCGGCGGGAAACAATATTGACCGAGTTGTTTTTGTATCTCCCGCATCATCATCGTGCCGCGCGTCCACCCGTCTCTGTCCCGCTTTTAACGCCGGCCACCCTTCGCTTAGCCATTCGCGTATCCATTCGCCCGACCGCTCACTTTGTCTCCCCTTGTTCTGTCCACGGTGTGCGATATTTTTTTTCTTTTTCCTTTTTCTCTTCCTTTTATTTTTTTTATTTCTTTTTTCTTTTTTTTTTTTTTTTTT